CAAAAGCATGCACTAAATTCATTTGCCAGGCTGCCAGAGGAGTGTGGGTGTGCGCACTACAGTAGTTAAATCATTTCTCATTTTGTTTAGTGGCCTTTAATCTGATTAAAAGGAAATTAGATATTCATTCCCTGTTGAGTTATCCAGTATATCAATTCATTTACCAGTCCTTTAAGTATTAGGATAGTTTACATTAACCTGAATATATTGAAACACATAATGTGGAGATGGCTAAAGCGGTTGACGCTACATAAATGTGCCACACCAGAGGGTCAGTATGTCTAGTTTTACATCAATAAAGCAAGATCTATGTAGATGTTTTAGAATGTCATTTGCAGTTAATGAGTGCCTAAAGTCTTTGAGTCATTAATGCCACCAGATCCTTTTTATCCTTCCCCATTATCTTCTCCCAGCCACCTTCAGCTCTTGTTGCTGTGGGGTCTCTGTTTTCAGTCTAGTTTTTAGCAGGTGGTATGCAGTTCCGTTAGGATAGGATCAGGTGACTGAGATGGACAGTAAAGCCATTCATTCTCTAACCCTCTAGATTCCTTGTATGTCTAGGGTTTTTTTCCTGCTTAATAACTAGATGTTTTTGCATGTGTTGTGATCCATTTGACTGGATATTTCAGTAAAATACCTCCCTTCGAGTTTCTTGTTTTTTGCTTTTATGTATAAAGTTTTATTCAGTTTTGAGCTATGTTTGAATTTTTGCATGCAACACACACAGCTTGCTGAAATGATCCAATTATATTTTTAATCCTTGCAATTTTAGCGCTTTGAACACTTGTTTTTATTTTGACACAAATTAACCTATCAGTTGAGTTTATACACTGCATTGGCAAAATATAGTGTTCGCATGCAGGAAGTTGAGTGACATCCCAATCTGAATCCATAGTGTTTATTAAAATGTCAGTACACACTTTGCATCTATAACAGCTTCAAATTGTCTGGGAAGGCTTTCCACAAGGTCTAGGAGTGTGTTTATGGGAATTTTTGGACATTCTTCCAGAAGCAGATTTGTAAGGTGACCTGGCTCACAGTCTCTCCTCTAATTTATCCTAAAGGTGTTCTGTCAGGTTGAGGTCAGGACTCTGTGTAAGCCACTCAAGTTCTTTCACACCAAACTCGCTCATCCATGTGTTTGTGACCTTACTTTGTGAGCTTTCATGCTTGAACAGGAAGTGGCAATCCCCAAACTATTGCCACAAAGTTGGGAGCATGAAGTATTTCACTATACAGACAGTGGAGGGCAAAATGTCCAACATGCTTCAGCATGTTGAAGCATTAAGAGTTCCTTTCACTGGAATTAAGGCCGAGTCCAACTCCTGAAAAACAATCCCTCGCTATAATCCCCCTTCCCTCCATCCCTCCACTGCTCTACAGTCCAGTGTTGGCAATCCGTTACATCGTGCTTGGTGATGTAATGCTTAGATGCAGTTGCTCGGCCTTGGAAACTCATTGCATGAAGTTTGCTATGCACTGTTCTTGAGATAATCTGAAGGCCACATGAAATTTGAAGGCCTGTAGCAACTGACTTTGCAGAAATTTGGCAACCTCTGCATACTATACACCTCAACATCCGCTGACCCTGTTTTGTGGTTTTCGTGGCAGTTCGAGTTGCTGTTCTTCCCAGTCACTTCCACTTTGTATAATAACACTAATATTTGTCTGTGCAATATTTGGTAGTGAGGAAATTTCATGACTGAACTAACATAAGTGGCATCCTATCACTGTAACATTCAATGAGCTCCTGAGAGATACCCATTCTTTCACAGATGTTTGTAGAAGCAGTTTGCATGGATAGGTGTTTGATTTTTATACATTTGTGTCCATGGAAGTGATTGGAACACTTGAGTTTAATTATTCAGATGGTTGAGTGAATATTTATGGTAACATGGTGTATGTAGCATGCATTTCCTATTGATTGTGCTTAGTAACAAAGCCTAAAGAACATGAATAACTCAACTGCGTTTACTTTGTTGTAAAACATTTTAACGTGTAATACTCAAAAGTGTTGGGTCTGAAAATTAAAAAGAGTATAAAATCAAAACAATATAATAAAGAGATAAATGCAATTAAATGGAAAATATTCAGAATGAGTTTATGGCCAATTTCTATACAAACATGATGATATTGATCAAATCTGATTCTAAAGTATCTTCTAAATATTTTAACAGGACTGCCAAGTTTTTCTCATATTAAACTCTAAAATGGTATTTTCAACCTGTGTAAAGCAAAGTCACTTGGTTTCACTCACCCACCTCCCTGTTGGCTGGCGTGACTGGTTCCTGTCACAATGCTTCTAATAATACCTGGGTTAATGGATGCTATGGTTACTGTTACCTGGAGGAGAAAAGCTGTCATTGGAGCTTCTGTAATAGTGGCAATAAGATTGTGAGACAAATTTAGTATGGCCGCGTTGACGTCAGTTTTAGATGAAGGGTAGAAGGGTAGAGGTTATTCTTAGCTCTCCCCCCCCCCCCCCCCCCCCCACACACACACACACACACACACTTACTGCATCAGTAGGTCTGTGGACTAGCAAGACTCAAAATTAATTAACTTGAATTACGTACTTGTAAGTGAGCTTTTCTTGAAAATCTTAAAGTAAAATGCATTTAGTCATATATGATGTGCCACTGTAATATGTATGTTGTACACTATAAACCCTCTGTATGTGATGTCATGAAACATGGTTGGAAAAATGAGGATGAGAGACTGCAACAATGCCACGCAGACCCATGCCTTTACACACACACACACACACACACAGACACACATGATTACTTTGATTCTCTTTTTTTTTTTAACTAAGAAGTCCCTGAGTGGAACAGCTGGACTACCCTTTTCGGTAGAAATGATGGGTGCTGGTCTTTGGTGCGTTGACCTTACATGCACCTTAGACACTGGAGGTGTTGTGGGAGGAGGCGTCGATGAGCACCGCCCACCCCCCCATCGTACATCCTACCTGGTCTCGGGATTGGCTGGTGGTCTGGGCAGAGGTTGACTGCTGGCTATGGGGGGCACTCCATCCACACTTCAGAGGGTGGGGGGGATGTGGATGAAAGTGTGTCTCTGAGCAGTCTGTGCGTGTGTGTGTGTGTGTTTATAAAAAAAAAAAGCAGAAAAAATTGTTGTATAAGGATTTTATGGCAGATTTTATATGTGTGCATTTTTGTCCACGAAGGTGTCGAAAAGCTGTAAAATGCATCAACAGAGTATGGATGACGTCGGATTTCAAAATTCTGACTAAAAAGAAGAGGAGGGCATGAGAGTTAAACATAAGAGCTCTACTCTGTTATCATTTTCCAAAACTTCTTATCAAGGCATGGAGACAGGATTAGATGTGCTGTCTGTCTTCCATGACGGAAATACTCTCTCCTTAAGTATTATGGATTCCTGTTTGCACCCTAATTTGAACTGGAACTGAGCCTTCAGGACAGATGCTCATTTGATTTTGGTTAAATAAGACAGTACAGACAAATTAACACCAAATTAAGGAATTAGATTTTCACTTTAATGAGCATTAAGGGCTTTAGGGATTGACCATATAAGGAGGAGGACTTTAGAGATTACAAACAGTTAAAAGGTTTAAATGAGTGTTTTCAGTGTAGTACCTTTCCTTGCTTTATTATAATGTATCACATAAAATCCTTTCACCAATGCTTCACAATGTGGTGGATGTTTGACTTTAAAAGATCTGAGATGCACCTGAACAATCAAATCACTTTCAGCTGTCTTTAACCTGGACGTAACACCTCCTTGAAGTAGACATTCATGGGTGTAATCTATCATCTCTCACATAAAGGTCCTACTCTTCTACTGACAAGTGGTATTATCAAACAGCGTCTTGGAGCTGCTGCACTTGACAGGTATGTTTTGTGCCAGATTCAAACATTTTATGCAATTTGACTGGTTCAATCTTCTCTTATTCAAACCTCAAATAAAATGAGTATTTTTCAGTGTCTTACTGCTTTCTGTTGGTTTTTATTTTCTTTGTGCTTTGTCTTTCACGCTCATTAAATTCTGCTAAAATTTGCTCTATTGGCACAAGAGGAAAATGGATGTCTTGGATGCTGCCAGCAAAGCAATGCTGCCTGTCATTAATGGACTCCTTTCCTCTTTAGTGTTCATGAGTACCGTCTGTCCAGCTGGCTGGGCCAACAAGAAGACATCCATCGCATAGTTCTTTACCAGACTGACTACACACTGACCCCGTGGACACAGAGGTGCATCCGTCAGGCTGACTGCATCATTATTGTGGGATTAGGCGAGCAGGACCCTACTGTAGGGGAGGTGAGGTGTTCACTGGTTCCCAGGAGAAGAGAGAGGTGTATTACTAGGAGCTGTTAGAGCTACACTTTCAAATCCAACATTTGTTTGTAACAGTTCCCCACACTCAAAAAGTTCTCCTTACATCAACTGCTACTTTAGAGACAAACAAGTGTGTATTATGTTGTGCAGTTTTGTGATAGTGTATCTATCAGAGAGACTGTCCTAAGACGACCTCCCTGTCCTTAATAAGTGTGTGTGTGAACGTGCGTGTTTTACATAACTATGTGCATGTTGTTATGCGCCTGAATATGTGCAAGTGGATGGACCAAGGCCCTGCTGGACCCACAAGTTCGAGTGGATACAAGGATGTGCAACAGCTTAAGCAGATAGAAAGAATGATACAGAACAACAATAGACTGATTAAAGTGATGATAATCTGTATACATTAATATTTGCTCGGATTAACATAGATATAATTCAAAGATTATTCTGTCAACTGATTCGACAATGCTAAATGATTGATCAATGATAGTTCTGATTATAACTGTGACCATAAGAATACAAAATAAAATATCTCTTGTCCACAATGTACAGTGCATCAACCTCATTTTATTACTAATTTATTGATAATTCATTAGTTAATTAGTCTGATATTTTACTGCTGTACCTGCGATGCAAAAACACCCCAAAATATTTTTAACCTAAATCCAGTGCTTTGCATTCACAGGGACTTACCAGTACTATCTAGTTAGTTTAAAAATTCAATTCAATTCAATTCAATTTTATTTATATAGCGCCAAATCACAACATAAGTCGCCTCAAGGCGCTTCATAGATACAGAGAAAAAAAACCCAACAATCATATGACCCCCTATGAGCAAGCACTTTGGCAACAGTGGGAAGGAAAAAAAATCAAGGCATGTTCACATTGTCATTAGTTTTTATTAATAAATTAAATAATAATTTGTGACCTCTGCCAGCAAATTTAAAAAACAGGGTAAATAACTTAGTTAACAAAGATTCTGCAGTTTAATAAAACCAGTTCTGTGTGAAATTGGCAAGTTTGGTACTGGAAGCTTTCTGGTTTCTGTTTTTCTCCAAGTCATTTCTGAACCATCTTTGACTTCATGCAGGAAAGCGGTCCATGTGGAGAAGAACCTCAAAACAATGAGCTTTTTAAAAGAAACCTTTAAAGCACTGATAGACTGTAATTCATGTAGTGCTGAGCCTTTTTTTTTTTAGAGAAACGAAAGCTCTTACAGGCAATGTGACATCAAGCATCAGTCGGGAGAATGGGGTGGGAGGGGGTGACTGTGGGATCCTCCTGCCACTCAATAATAATACTTGCTTAAACGTTTTGCTATATTAAAGAACATGGAATAAAAAAAACAGAGATGGTGGCAGATGGGCTAGTCTGAGACTCTGATAGTCAAACATCATCAGCCTTTTCTTTGTGACATAACGCATTAGGGATGTGATTGACCAGGAGATTTGTTCAATGAATGTGCAGCTGATAAATCTGAAAGGATTATGTTGGACAATGACATAATCATGGACCGTAACGTCAAAGGAGTTTTTAAAATGGTGCAGTCCGCTTGTGTAATCTGTCCCTCAGAGAACTGAGGCGATTTTTGAGAGCAAATTGATGTTTGGTATAGTGCTCATGACATGTATTTCATGTATGAAGTAGAAAAACATGCTCTCATTCAAGAACCGAGTTGGTATTTTTGTTTAAAATAATTCTCAAAAAAATATTTTAATCATTTGGGACTCATTTATCTGTACAATGATGAATATAATAACAGGAACCTACAGTTTTGATTCACTTAATGCAGTGAGGTCAACTTGATTACATGAAGTCATGGACTTATTAATATTACTAGTATAAGTATTACACACACACACACACGCACACACACACCCCTCCCCCTTTAACTGAGCTCTTGTTCAGTACATGACAGCAATTATCAGGTGTGTTATCAGGCAACAATCCTCTTAGAGCAAGCATTTTTTGATGTAATAACTTCACATCATTATGTTGTTGAATAATAGTTCTGCCAAGGGGTTCAATGGTTAGACAAGCTGTGAATGGCTTGTACTGACTCTTGGGGATACAGAAGAAGAATGGCTGTTGTGAAAGAGAGGAGGGGTGTGAGGAAGAGAGCAGAACTTTAAGCAGTTTGCTGGTCTGGATCATTCAGAGGTGATTGTGTTACACATCACAGTGTTCCTCCGCAGTCAACATCACAGAGAATTGACCTCAAGATCAGGCTGTGCTCAGAGTGATGATCTTGCCTTGTTTTGCAGCCACAGTACCCTGAGCACCCTACAGTCCATGGATTGGTCAAACCCGTACTGAGGCCCCTTATGTGACAGCTAACACTTGCCTGAAACTGGGTCATGCAACATGGATTTCACCTTCGTCTGTGTCACCCAAAAGATGGACACCTGCTGATAGATGGAGGCTATATCAACAACCTGCCTGGTTTGTTACATTCAGTTTGTACCTTCCCTTATTAAGTATTAAAAGTAGCCGTACTTTGATGTAGTTGCTCAGCTGTTTGCTTATAGCAATATATTTTTAATTTTACCAGTACTGTATGCTGTTTGTCTTGATGTCTTCTTCCCCTGATTCTCCCAGCTGATGTTGCGCGCTCCATGGGGGCCAAAGTGGCAATAGCTATTGATGTGGGCAGCCGGGATGAAACCAATCTCACTAATTACGGCGACTCACTCTCGGGCTGGTGGCTGCTATGGAAACGCCTTAACCCCCTTGCTGAGAAGGTTAAGGTGATGGATTGATTAGGAGTAAAGACACACCATGCTGTGCAGCAATGTTTTTAATTCTATCAATATAAATCAGGATATTTTTGGAAATCATTTCAGTGATTTATAAGTTAATTTCCACAGGTGGCAGTAGCTAAAACATTATTAAAAAGCGATCTCTAGGTGTATTAGCTAATTGTAGGCCAATCTCCAACCTTCCTTTTTATCCCAAAAATTCTTAAAAGAGTAATTGTAAAACAGCTAATGGATCACCTGCAGAGGAGTGGTTTATTTCAAGAGTTTCAGTCAGGTTTCAGAGCTCATCGGAGTACAGAAACAGCTTTAGTGAAGGCCACAAATGATCTTCTTATGGCCTCTGACAGTGGACTCATTTCTGTGAGTGTCCTGCTAGACCTCAGTGCAGAGTTTGGTGCTGTTATCTATAATATTTCATTACAGCAATTAGAGCATGCTGTAGGTATTAAGTGTACTGTGTAATATCTTTCTAACAGACTCCAATTTGTTCATGTAAATGGGGAGTCACACACTAAGGTTAATTATGGAGTTCCACAGGGTTCAGTGCTACGACCAATTCTGTTTATATTATGCATGCTTCCCTTAGGCAGCATCATTAGAAGGCATAGAATACATTTTCACTGATATGCAGATGACACCCACATTTATCTATCCATAAACCAAGATAACACACATGCAGATAGAGGTTATTGTACTCGGCCCTGAAAATCTAATTACATGCTTACTTGGGATGGCATTACTTTGGTTTTCAGTAACACTGAAGAATCTGCATGATGCTGAAAAACGAGTTAATGTGTTTATTACTTCTAGGCTGGGCTACTATAATTCGTTATTATCAGGATGTCCTAAAAACACCTGAAAGGCCTTTTTTAAACACAGGGCTTAAATACACAGAGGGAGCAATTAGTGAATGAGAGACAGAAGGGAAAACACTGCTGGGGCAAATCAGGGCTAATGAGAGAGGGAATGCATAAACCGACACAGTAACCTGAGACACGGACTTCAAAGTAAAACAGGAAGCAGATGCGAACTTGACAAGGGGATACAGCAGACAGGGGAGACAGCAACTAAGGAACACAGACAGAAGCCAAAAGACTAAAACTGTAACATAAACCACACAGAGAACCCAAACTCAGAATAACCCTATAACCCAATAGACAAAGAAAGCTAAAAATATAATAAACCAAATCAAAAAACCAAAAACACAAAACCACTGGGTCAACGATCCAGGCCCCTAACAGAGTAGGCTTAAAATTGTACTTTTTGATAAAGCATATAGTTAGGGTTGGAGCAGGTGACCCTGAATACTCTCGTAGTTATCCTGCAATAGGTCTAGGCTGCTGGGGGATTCCCATGATGCACTCAGTGTTTCTTCTTTAGTCACCTTTTTTCACTCAATATGTGTTAATAGACCTCTCTGCATTTAACCATAAGATATTATTAATATCTCGCCCGTCTTCCACAGTGTGTCTTTGCAATGTCTTCCTCCCCTCACCTCCAGCCGGGCGCAGCAGATCACCCCCCCCCTCTCTAAGTCCGGTTCTGCTGGAGGTTTCTTCCTGTTAAAAGGGAGTTTTTCCTTTCCACTATCAACAAGTGCTTGCTCATCGGGGTCATATGATTGTAGGGGTTTTCTTTGTTTTCTTTGTGTTATTGTAAGATCTTTACCTTACAATATAAAGCACCTTGTGGCAACTGTTGTTGTGATTTGACACTATATAAATAAAATTGAATTGAACTGGAAGCATTGGAGAGTTCAATAAAAAGCAATAGCAGAGTCTGGGCTTGATTTTGTGTGTGTGACTTAAAACCACAAAATATTGTGATAGGCAATGAAATAACTAATCCAAATGCTATAGACATTAATAACTAAAATACTGGGAGTTGACAACTTAATTAAGTTGTTTGTTTTTTTTTACAATGCGTTGTTTTAGGGTTGTGATGACATTGAAAACTTTTGTCCTCTGTTTTTTTTCACAGCCAAATTTTGAGGTACAAGCTGGATGGTCTGAATGAGTACATTGGGATTTTCCATCTAGAGCCTATGTTTTCCTGTGCCCACCCTAGTGGGTGGAGTTCCTGGTGTTTCACCTGAAATCCATTGGGCTAATCAGCAGAGGGAGTCTTAAGGCCAGGTCTCCCATTCTCTGCCAGTTTGTCTGCTACCTTCTAGTGGTAACTGGGCCTCCACGGTCCAAGGTCAACGTGGCTTGTGCTTATACCTCATGCTTAACCTTGTCTCCTTGTGCCTCTCTGCCACTGCTCCAAATCAGTTCTCCACTGGAAATCTACTGGACGCTGGTCTCACCTGCAAAATCCACCTGCAACCTCTTTTTGGAAAGAGGTTACCTGCCTGCCCTCCTGCCTACTGTGCCCCTGCTGGACCAGAGATGAGCAGCAACGCGTTACTGTAATCCGATTACTTTTTTCAAGTAAGGGATTACTATTGCAAAAACGGTAATTAGATTCCCGTTACTTTCCCGTAGGAACACTGCGTTACTGCGTTACTAAAACCGTGATTTTTTTGCGAGAATGTCTCATGACAGTGACGTAAGCAAGTGCGACGTTCGTGACAACAGCTGTGTGCAGATCAACAGTGGATCATATATCGAGTGCGGGAGAGAGTATGAGCGTGCAGCGTTTAAAGCGTGGAAGTACTGACCTTACTTTAAGTTTGATTCCATAAAAAGTGACAAAAACATTAGCGTCCATTAGCATTGTGCGTGGGAAGAAAACATCTTTTTACAGCGAAAAAAACCCCTAAACTTCCAAGTAAGCACCGAGTGCGCTACGACGTAATGGGAAACTCACAGAGAAACTGCCGTATCCTTCCACTGACCGCTGCGGCACACCTGCACCAGGGTAAACCTCCGCCTACCCAACTCCTACTTTACAGGTGAAAATAGAGCAAAAGGACCGCTGAGTCTTTGACTTTATTTATTTTCTGCTGTGTTTTACTTGCATCTATTTGAAAGACTGAGTGTAAACACACAAAAAAAAAATTTTATGTGCTGGAATGTGCAGAAAATAGGTTTAAATATTAAACAAATTTCTTCCAGTCAGAGAATGTTGCATATAATTAAAATTTTGGTTGATGCATAAAGTTAAAAGATTAAAATTAATAAAACTATAAAAGTTTTAAAAAGAGACTTTTCCATTTGATTACATTTTGTATGATGATTTTTTTTGCAGGTAGGGAAACATCCGCCATACCTTTACTCACCTATAGTTCTCTGCATCACCATTCTGATATTAACTTCCCTTTCCTCTGTTTCAGAGCTCTCCTTCAGAGATCCCGCTCCGCTCCTCTCTCCACCTTCTGTATATACATACATATCTCGTTCACTCTGTTTAAATAAAGTCTTGTTAAGAACTAATTTCGCATTGAGTCTGCTTTTGGGTCTGCAACCTCGTACTGGCCTCCGGCCTTCGATAACAAGTAATTTGTACCACTTATTGGTATACCAGGTAGTCATGCTGCTCTAAGTTCAAAGTACACGCAATATTTATTACTGCAGAGCTTTACACAAGTCAGAGCTTTAAAAAGCCCCAGACATTTAACGACATTTTCACAGTAGTTCAGTTCCTGTTTGGACGTATATATGCTGAAGAAAATTGCAGTAGTGTCTTCTGTGCCAAAAATAATCAAGTTGGACATTTAATTAATAAGCAAAATATTAAATGCTGTAAATTTAAGGCTGATGAGTGTAACTCAGTAATAACAATGGAGGGAAAAACCTACTGTGGAATTACTGAAATATTAGTAAGTAGCCACATTCAAGTCTCACATGCCTGAAATCTACTGTATTGACAAAAAATGAATTTATAATCGCTCATATTACAAATCCCTTAAAAACAATATAATATAATATATAGATAATAGAGTATTTTTAGCTGAACCTCAGGCCTTCAGCCCCTTTTGCTGATAAAGTAATAACAATAAAAATAAAAAGGATGAAATTGTTTGCTCTTAACGTACACAAAAATAGATTTTTGTGTACCAGATTTGTTCCAAGCAATGTCACAGAATGGTAAATGGTAAATGGCCTGTATTTATATAGCGCCTTACAGAAAGACAAAACGCCTCCTAACCAAGAGATGACGAGAACGATGGAGACAGATGAGTTATTTACTCCCAGTTTGAACAACAAACAAGGATGAAGGGTAAAACAGCAGGACTCACACTGGCAACCTCCCCCTCCCTGATAACAGACAACAAAGGCAACAGAACAATTGCTGAAAACAGGATGGAGCCACTTTTATGATTGCAGATCTGAGACCGTAATGTTTAAGACTAAATGGCTTCTGTTCTCATTCTTTTAAACAATAGGCATCCCACACAGTTAATGAATGCATTTCTATTTTCAGATGCTACTGGAGAGTACAACAACCAGGGGATGCAATGCTTCTCCTTCTGTGATACATTTGATACTATTTATTTGTGTGGATGCACAAAATGCAGATCAAGACTTAAAAACATAACCAAGGTTTTGGGACTAGCCGAGCTTAAAAAAAAAAAAAGGCAAAACCAGATGTGCTTCACTGAAAAGCTGAAATTGCACAAAAGTCTGCAGCAGATTTTTTTTCATGCAGTTAGTTTCCATTATACTTTGCTGTAATTTCCAACACACAGCGATCTAGATCAGGACAACTCCATTATAGTGTTTCTTGCAGCCGGCATGCTTTGCACACAGTTTGGAAGCGTATTCAAAGACAATAATTTTTTAAGCATAAGAACAGTTGTAGATTTCTCAAATAGCTTCAAACTTGTTTTTATTCCTGTTCTCTCTATTTATAATGCATTTGTCATCAAAGTCCACCCTGCATGACATTTCTAATGTTCTGACTTATGCACCTGCACACCCACGTGTATTTGTCACCATTCTACACTCCAAATATTCCAGTTTATTCACCCACAGTGTGCTTCCTGTCCCCCACTCTTTCCTTGCATCAGAAGAATCCGACTACCACACTGACTATGAAGAGGATGCACTGGAGAGTGCTCTCTCTGACATGGAGACGTATAATCGCTATGGAGAGCACACCGAAGGGGAGGAG